ACTACTTATACTAGAACCTATAGTCTTACGTTAACTATTATATTATAATTAGACCACCTATTAAGTTAGGAAGACATACTATAGATAGAGCTTTTTAAGCACTATAGAATATACTAGAAAGCTAACTAATTAGTCTACTAATAGGTAAGTAATAGTCTATAAAAGATAAAGGATTTCCCTAAGAGTAGTAGATAGAATAAGTAAGTTTATAAAGTATCCTTTATAACGCTATTCTTTTAATATATTATTTAGCCCCTTATATACTCGTTATAAATTCCGGACGAAATCCTACCCTATACTCCTTTAACCGACCCTTCCGCTTACGTTATTAATTACCCGATTCTATGCTTATTGCTTATACCTTCTTATAATATAGAAAGTATAAAGGGTCTTAAAGCGCCTTTAACTTTATAGGCTCTACCTTAACCTAGATAAGTATAAATTCGGGGTTAAGAGGGTTAAGTACCTAGGCTTTATTTTCTACGTAGGTATAGGTTTATAGGTAGATCCTATAAAGATCTAAGCGATCTAGGACTAAGCGGCCCTAACTACGTAGATAGGCGTATAAAGCTTCCTTAGGTTTATAAACTATTATAGAATATTTATTAAGGGCTTCTCTTATATTATAATGCCCTTAAATAAGATTACTAGGAAATAGACTACCTTTTATTAAGGGCCTATATAGGAAAGAGCGTTCTATACGCTTAAGGACCTATTCTTATAAGCCCTAATACTACTTTAGTAAGACTTTAACCGGTCTATATTAGTTAAAGTAAACTATAATAGCTAGGCACTTAAAAGAACGCTCTCTTAAGAGGTCGATAAGTAAAAGTAACTAATAGCGTTCTACTCCTATAAGCTAACCTTAGTAAAGCGGAATTACGCTATTTACGATAAAGAGATACTAGCGATTATTAGCTACCTTAAGTAATAGTAGGCGGAGCTCTAAAGCTATAAGAGCTTTAAGGTTCTTATAGACTATAGGAACCTTAAGTACTTTATAACCCGCTAGTACCTCTTAGAGCGGTAAGCCCGCTAGGTAGAGTATCTCTTACGCTTTAACTTCTCGATTAGGTACTAGCTAAGGCGGGACTCTATAGTCCTAGATACGCTTTCTTAAAGGGATTAAGACTAGCTAATAAGAGCGGATATTAAGGCCTAGGATCTATAGCTTATCCTATAAGAAGCGCTATAGATTTATATAAGAGCTTCCTTAATAAAGGAAGGCGCGGCGCTAATAGATAAGCCTTCCCCTATACCTTTACCTTATCCCGGTAAGGAGGGATAGACCGGCCTAAGGGCGCGTGCGGCGTAGGTATTCTAAGATAAGGTCCTCTAATGCTTATAGGATAGGATATCGTCTCTAGACCGTACTTATAAGAGTATACGCCGCGCTATTAAGTCTAGCGCCCGACGCCTCGATCTTAAGCTAAAGCTAAAAGTATAAGTAGCCGACTATTATATTAACCTATAAGGGTATCTATATTAGCGGGAGAGACTATAGGTGCTAGGCGCGCTATATACTATAGAAGCTAGGGAGAAGGATAGATAGCTAGAGCTAAATAAATAAAATAAGCTTTAAGGGAAGCTAGTTTAGCTCGTCTATAACTTTAGTATCGTAGGCTACCTAGGTCGGTAAGGCATAATAGTAGGCCTTATAAGGGATTTCTACTAGCCCCTCCTATAGTACTATATTCGCCGCTTCCTTTATAACTATAATATCTATAACTATACTAAGATTTAAAAGGCATAGCTTAAAGGGCTACTTAAGTAGCTTCTAGTACCTAACTAGTTTTATACGTATATATAAATAGACTTTATAACGAACCTCTTACTTATAGAGGGCAGTAACCGCTATATATAGGTAATTAAGGACCGACTTAGTAAGTCTATAGTATTAAAACTAATACTATTTATAGATATAAAGTCTTATATAAAGCGCTTCTTATAGTACTAGGCCTACTTATATAGCTAGTTAGCCTTTATTATAAGTAATAAAAGATTAAATTAAACTAGCTACTTTTAATAGTACTTATACTAGCTACTTAATAAAGTATATTACTTATAGACTAATAAAGGGCCTAAGAGGGTTAACTAAAAGGTATAAGCTTACTTATAGGCTATTATAGCTTATAACTAAGTAGACTAAGACTAGTAGCTCCCCGCGGCCTAACTTTTATTAAATAGTAGACTATATACCTCTATTAAGATAGCCCCTTTCTTTATAATATATAGCTTTAAACTACCCTTATTAGTTCCTTTTACTATAAATATAGTAATAAAGTAGTATAGTAATTTATTATTAAAGGGCCGGGCCTTTATATTTATATAAAAGCTATAAGAGACTATAGATTATTATTAATCTATAATAGCCGCCGCGGTATAAGATTAAGAGTAGTACGTTAATAAGACTAGGGCCCTAGTAGATAGGTTTATAGTAAGAGATAAGATATAGCTAGACCTTTATAACTATAGGTTAGTATAGCTAAAGAAAAAGCTTAACTAGCTATATATAAAGTTTATAGTATAAAGGGTTATTAGCCTATAGGTTATAGAGCTTAATAGTCTTTTAATAAGGGTCTATAATAAGATTAATATAGACCTCTTTTATAGAGCCTCCTTTAACCTACTACTTAAATAAGAAATAGTAGACACTTAACCGCTTATAATTAAGGTAGAGAGAGAGGATAAGTTTAAGGTTAAAGAGATATAGGCCGCGCGCTAGAAAAAGGTTAGTAAAGGGAAACGCTAAAAAGTCCTCGTTAAGTAGCATAGGTATCTTAACCCTATATAGGAACCTATATATAAGTTTATAGGAACTATAGCTCTTAATAAGTTTAAAGCCTTATTTAAAATAGTAAATAAGAATAATAAATTAATAGACTATTAATAATAGCTTAAGCTAAGACTATAAAGTAAGTAAAGTAAAGTAAGTAGTTACGATAACGTAAGTATAATAATATAAGTAAAGATAAAAATAGCGTTTATTTTAAGGTAAAGCCCTTAGACTACTTAAACCTACTCCTTATCCTTATTATTATCCTTATCCTTATCCTCGTTATCCTCCTTTACTTTATTAGCGGCGGCGGCGCTCTCTAAGGCGCTTAGGCGGCCCTTTAAGCCCGCGAGCTAGTTAGCGGTAGCGGCGGCTCTAAGGGCTCCGGGGGTAAGGGGGGCCCGGCTAATAGTAGCGGCGGGGGGGGTGGCGGGCATAGCTAAGGGGACCGCCGATAAAGCGATAGAGGTAGTATCCCTAGTACCGGGACGCGCGTACTAATAATAACTACCGCTATAGCGGCGCCTAACTTAGTTAGTATAGGGGAGCTCCTATAACGCGTACCGTATATAGGGGGCCGCGTAGGCGGCTCCGGCCTATACTTAGTATTTATACTTTAAGAAGTTAGCGGAAAATAGCTACTATACTTGCTAGGTAGCGGACTTACGGGGGTAGTAGAGGTAGAGGTAGGGGTAAAGGGGCCGGGCGTTACGGCCGGCGGCGGGAACGGCGTCGTTACCTAGAAGGGCGACGTAAAGGCGGCTAGCGTAGTAGAGGTAAAGGCGGCGGCGGTAGGCGCGGTCGCGGGGGCGCGGGTAGGAGTAGCGGCAGCGGTAGAGCTATAATCGGCCGTGCCTAGTATAGCGTCGACGAATAACTCTATACGCTCTAAGAAGGAGGAAGTAAGGGAGGGGGAGGTAGATATATCTATCGCGGAAGTTAATATTATAGATTATAGCCTCCCGCTCTATAAGGTAAAGAACTTACTAGTTAAAGTTATTATTATTAAGGCTATTATTACTACTATAGCTATTATTATAAGTATATATTAATAAAGCGGCTTATATAGCTAGGAATAAACTAATACCTTAAGTAAAGCGGAACTTACTTATTATTACTATTACTATAGTTAAAGAAGGAGAAAAAGGAAAGGAAGAAAGAAGGGGGGAATACTACCTTATATACCCTTAGGTAGAGGAGGCTACTTAAGGCTAAGGGGACGGGTAACCTAAGGCTTATATAGGTCTAGGCCGGCCGCTAGCTACCTAGGGGCGTATATAATAGGTTACGCCCTTATTTAAATAGCTAGCTAGCCGATAAGTATAGAGCCCGGTTCCGGCTACCTAGGCTAATAAGCGCGGGGATAATAGGGCTAGTAAGGCTAGTACGATTAACGGGAAAGGGTAGGGTAGAGCTAGCGGTATAGGCTTAATAGTATAGAAGCTATTAATTAAGTAACGCCGCGCTACGCTTAAGGGAGGGCATTATATAAGAGTCTTTAACTATTATAGGTTATAGGCTTAGGCTATAGCCTAAGCTATATAGTTATATATAGAGGGCCGGATCCTATATATATATATATAGGCTAGCCGCGTATAGGAGAGCTCTATATAGCTTATTAATATTATCCTATAGACGGCACCTACGCGCACGCCTCTACCTACTCTATAATACTTATAACTAGCTTAGAGCTAAGGTATAATATTATTAATAGCTTTAAGCACTTCTTAGAGCTAGCTTTTAGTATATTTAGAAAGACGAGGCATCGCTAATTTAAATAATATTTATTTTATAACTATTAAATAAGAGATATACGAGAAAACGCGGTCACGATATAGTGGGTAGTCAACGCGATGGTGATGTGGGGAGGTGCCGGAAGTAGGGGGTGCCGGAAGCTAGGTGTGCTGACTTGGAGGGGAATATCGGCTCCAACTAGGCGGATTTGTCGCCATGTTGCGCGCCCGCTAGTAGCTGCACGAGGCTGCTAATAGAGAGGCGCAATAGGCGCTTAGAGACGAGTCGTTTAGTGTATCGAACGTGTATTTTATCGCGGTTGCGGGCTTCGCGGTAGACTCAAGCTACTAGCCTTTTCTCTAAGAATATTATATAGTAAAGGCTGGTGGCGGGCGTTTGATTGATCGTGAGGGGGCCCTTTGCTTTTCCCCCATTACATCCCGTGCTCCGGGGCACCAGACCATCGTCCCGCATCGCCATTGTCGCCTCCATGGCGTCTGCACACCCCCGAGTCCACCGGCTCGTCGTCGGGCTCATCGGCGCCGGCCTCGTCCTGCTCGTCGTCGGCTCCGCCGCCCGCGCCGCCATCTCCCTCGCGCGCATCTTCGGCCGCCATGCCGGAGTTGCCCTGACGCAGCACCAGGTCGCCCTCGCCCACAAGGACGAGTCGCGCGTGCGCCCCGTGCCGCGCATCATCCACCAGGTCTTCCACAACTGGGCGTCCCCGGGCAACGAGACGCTCCCCGCCGACTGGGCCGCGATGCGCCAGAGCTGCCTCGAGCTGCATCCGACGTGGGAGCACAAGGCGCGCCTCCTCTCCCTGTGCCCTCGCCTCTGGCTGCTGACTGCCGTAGCTGTGGACCGAGGCTGCCTCGCGCCTCTTTATTCAGACCGAATACCCCTGGTTCCTCGACACGTACGACGGCTTCCGCTTCCCCGTCCAGCGAATCGACACGCTGCGATACTTTCTCCTCCGACACTTTGGCGGCATCTACATGGACCTCGACAACGTATGACGCCCGCATCCGTGGTGCCGGCTGCTCGCTGACTTTCTCTGCCAGGGCTGCCGCGCAAACCTCGAGCCGCTCCTCTACTACCCTGCCTGGGTCACCGACGGCGGCCACGGCACCCTCAGCAACAACATCATCGGCGCTGAGCCCGAGCACCCCTTCTGGATCCTCGTCACCGACTCCCTCGTCTCGTGGGCCGGCGACTTTGTCCTGCCCTACATCACCATCAGCTACGCCACGGGCCAGTGGTACGAGACGGAAATGTGGCAAATCTACCATGCCCAGAAACCGCCCCGCAACCCGGACCTCGTCCGCGTCATGATGGACGCCCGCCCCACCGGCGCCCCCTGGCTCTTCTTCACCGCCGGCCGCGGCGGCACTTGGGACAACTGGGACAACCGCGTTTTCGGCTGGATTGGCAACCACCTGTTCGAGGCCTCACTCTACGGCCTCGCCAGCCTCGGCGCCGTAGTCGCCGTCGTGTATGCCGCCAGCCAGGCAATCCGGCCAAGACGGGGGCAGGTGCGTGTGGGCAAGTGGGAGCGGGTACGGATCCTCGGGTAGTGCTGCGCTGGCATCCGTTGGCTTGCTGTTGAGTGGGACCCTTCTCGGTAACAACTTTGATTGGACGTTGCACATATTGGAGTATGGCGATGTTTTGACCATGGGATACATACGGGTCTTGGGCGTATCAGGATGGGATTCTTTTGTGTTTGGTTTGTGCAAGAGTCATGTGTTGGATCTTGAGCTGCCCTGACGAACCGAAGGCTGGCGCCGTGTACCGACGGTATGGATCCTGAATGAAGAACGCGCCGCGTCACATCAAGCGCGAAGTACGTAAATACTCGATAGTTGGATGCCGCGCCTGGTGAAGCCTTGTGCTCGTCTCGACGACGACGGATGGATCGAGGAGTGACTCTTGTTGGCGGGAGAAGTCGCATCCGTTGGGAGAAGCGACGAATCCAGGGAGAGAGAGTCGGCGAGATATATCGCATCTGTCGCCTGGTAGTTATTCGTTTGAGAGCCTGGAAAGGATATCATGTTACACAGCACCAACGAGGATAGCATGGCGTTGTAATGAAATACTGGACACGCAAGGGCGAGTTCAGCTCGGTGTGGACCTTGGCAGAGACAGGTCAAACTCCATCGAGGACGCCAGCGGCAGGCCCTACAACAGTAACGAAGCAGAAGTCACGCATCGCCATATGCTCACATCTCGCATGAGCCGCAAGACTCATCAGCCTCGCAGAGTGCTGCGTACTAGGTAAACATACAAAGCAAGCAGGCTGGCGGCTCGGCTGCCTCTCGACGCACTCTCCGCATTCATTGCCCCTCATCGGGACACGGGAGGGCTCGAGATGGTGGCGAACGTTACTTTAGCCATGCTTGAAGCAAGCCCCTCTCGCTCCATCGCCCCGAGCGCCGTCACATCACCAGCATTTAGTCTCGGCATTGGGGCCTGTAGCTTGCTTTCCTCCTCTTGTTGTTCCCATTGACCGGCTGGCTTGCTGACAATCCGGATATAAATAAGCCTTTCCCATCACCATCACTCACCCCATCCGGCTCATAAGTCAGAAGTGCGTCTACGCAAGCTGCTCCCAACGCGTCAGTGGGACAATCTTTGCAGCCATGACGCATCCCCAGGCCACTGCCATGCCGCTGCCGCCAGAGGACAACAACACAGCCGGCGCCGGGAAGCCCGACTGGAACAACGTCGAGGTCATCCACCGCAACGCCCTCGCCCCGCGCAGCCACTTCTTCCTCTACGGCAGCGAGCACGATGCCCTCGCCGCCGACGTGCGCGCCGCCAAGGCGCTGTGCCTCTCGGGCCGGTGGCGCTTCCACCTCTCCGTGTCGCCGCTCGAGGGCCCGCGCGACTTTTACAAGCCCGGCTTCTCCACCGCCGCCGCCGGCTTCTCCGACATCACCGTGCCCGGCATGTGGCAGCTGCAGGGCCACGGCCAGGGCCCGCACTACACAAATGTCGTCTACCCATGGCCCGTCGACCCTCCGCACGTCTCGCCGCAGGACAACGAGTGCGGCCGCTATCTCACCACCTTTACCGCCGACGCCGCGGCCCTGGGCGGCCACCGGCTGCGGCTGCGCTTCGAGGGCGTCGACTCGTCCTTTACCGTCTGGCTCAACGGGCACAGCGCCGGCTACTCGCAGGGGTCGCGCAACCCGAGCGAGTTCGACGTCACGCCTCTGGTCCGCCTTGGCCAGCAGAACGTCCTCGCCGTCGAGGTCTACCAGCGCTGCGACGGCAGCTACCTCGAGGACCAGGACCAGTGGTGGCTGAGCGGCATTTTCCGCGACGTCTACCTCCACGCCTTTCCCGCCGTCCACCCCGTCGACTTTCACGCCGTCACCCGCCTCGACGCCGAGTACCGCGATGCCGTGCTCCAGGTCGAGGTCCAGACGAGCGCGCCCTCAGCCGTCGAGCTCAAGCTCCTCGACCGCCACGGGAAGCTGCTCGGCACGCAGACCGAGACGGTCGACGGGCCCGGCCGGCTCGAGCTCGACGTCGCCAACCCGGACAAGTGGACGGCCGAGACGCCCAACCTGTACACGCTGGTGCTCAACTTTGCCGACGGCCACGGCCCCAGCTGCAGCCTGGCGCACCGGGTCGGCTTCCGCAGCGCCGGCCTCGTCGACGGTGTCTTCTGCGTCAACGGGCAGCCCGTCAAGCTGCGGGGCGTCAACCGGCACGAGCACCATCCGGACCACGGGCGCGCGGTGCCGTACGACTTTATGCGACGTGACCTGATGCTGATGAAGCGCTGCAACGTCAACGCCCTGCGCGCCTCGCACCAGATCAACGATGCGCGCCTCTACGATGTCGCCGACGAGCTCGGGCTGTGGGTCATGGACGAGGCCGACCTCGAGTGCCACGGCTTTGGCGACGTCGGCGGCGATCCGGCTTCGTACACGTCCGACAATCCGGCCTGGCGCGAGCACTACGTCGACCGCGCCCGGCACATGGTGGCCCGCGACCGCAACCACGCCTGTGTCGTCATGTGGTCGCTGGGAAACGAGGCCTTCTACGGCCGCAACCACCAGGCTATGTACGACTGCATCCGGGGCCTCGACGGCGACGCCCGTCTGATCCACTACGAGCCGGACAGCCAGGCCCGTACCGCCGACGTCTTCAGCCGCATGTATCCCACAGTCGACAGCGTCGTCGACTTTGCCAAGGAACGCCAGTGGCAGAAGCCCCTCGTCCTGTGCGAATTCCTCCACGCCATGGGCAACTCGGTGGGCAATGCAAAGGAGTACATTGACGTCTTCTACAAGCATCCACGCCTGATGGGCGGTTTTGTCTGGGAGTGGGCGAACCATGTAAGTGCCACGGCGTCGCGGAAAAGACCTGGTGCGAGCCAGTCGAGGCGTTGAGTTTCGGAGTCGAGGGACTGATGGAGACACAGGGCCTCAGGACCAGGACAAAAGACGGCATCGAATACATGGCCTACGGCGGCGACTTTGGCGACGAGCCCAACGACTACAACTTCATCATGGATGGCCTCCTCTGGTCCGAGCACAGCCTGACGCCCAACATTGCCGAGTACGCCAAGGCCATCGAGCCCGTCCAAACGATTGGCCGCCACCGCGACAAGGTGACCGTCGTCAACCGCTACGACTTCCTCGCCATCGACCACCTGGATGGCTCATGGGCCCTCGTCGCAGACGGCAAGGGCGTCATCAGCACCGGACGTGTGGTTATTCCCGACGGTAGGCATCCGCTCATCTTATCGTGATGCTGGTGGACGCTGCGCGAAGCAGCCCACGGCGGGATCTGAGGCACTAACAGTATCCCCAGGCGTCACGCCACACACCGAGGCCACACTGACGCTCCAAAACCTGGACCAAGGGGTGCTGCAACAGGCGGACGGAGAGGCCTACCTGCAACTCCAGTTCAAGCTGAGCGAGTCGACGGCGTGGGCGCCCGCAGGCCACCTCGTCGCCACGGGCGAGCTTCAAGTCACGGAGCCGCTGTCCCTGTCTCGTCTTGGAGCGCTGGGGCCGCCCACGTCGAAGCCAACCGTTGTCGAGGAGGGCCCCAAAGGGCGGCTCGTCGTCACCTCGGCCACGGGAGGCTCGACCTGGGCCATTGATATGCTGACGGGCATGCTGACGAGCTGGCAACGGGCCGGGCAGGCCGGGGTTGAGATGCTGACGGAGCCCTTTCGGATGGACTTTTACCGAGCGTTGACAGACAACGACCGCGCCGGACACGGCAAGCAGTGGGTCGAGCGGCGTCTGCACCAGACGACGAGCCAGGTACGGCAGCTCCACTGGCACGTCGACAACAACGGGCTCAGCGTCCGCGTCGACGAGCGCATCGCACCCCCGGCCCTGGCGTGGGGGGTCAACAATACGTGGACGTACAGCTTCCGGGGCGACACGGTGTCGATTCGCGTCCAGGGCAAGGCAAGCGGGCCGCTGCTGCCCGAGACATTTGCCCGCATCGGTCTCACGCTAGGGCTCGCCGGCGCGGAGCGGGTGCGATGGTGGGGCCGAGGCCCGGGGGAGTCGTACCGAGACAAGAAGCTGTCACAGCTCTTCGGCGACTGGGACGCGAGCATCGACGAACTCTGGGTCGACTACGAATTCCCGCAGGACGGCGGAAACCGGACCGACGTGCGCCGGGTCGAGCTGGTCGGTGGCCGGACCGACGGGCGCCTGGTGCGGGCACGATTCGGAGACGCGGAGGGCGTGAGCTTCTCGGCCATGCACTATGCGACGGCCGACGTGGACGAGTGCACGCACCCATTCGAGCTTCACCGACGCAAGAGGGCAGACACGGTTGTCCGGCTGGACTGGATGCATCACGGCCTGGGCACGGCCTCATGCGGGCCCTGGACGCTGCCACAATATCAGCTACGAAGCGACAAAGGGTTTGACGTCGAGATTCTTTTGGATTAACCATCCTTGATCTCTTGTCTTCTCGGGTCTAGTGCCGCCCAGCATGAAAGGCAAAGAGAGGGCGGGGTTGATCAACGTATGTTTGGCTGTATATGGTGTTTCCGGCTTGGATGCCAATGGACCTCTCGTCGCTATGTCTCCAATGAAACCCTTCTTTGCTCTCCCTGTTCCACCAGCTGCCTGACGCGTTGGCGGCGGCTTTATGACGACCGTGGCGGTGGCACGTAAACGGCGACGGCGCGATAGCCAGACTTGCGACAAAGACGGCAGGCAAGACCTTGAGGCATATGTTCCGCCATGGAGCAACACTAGTTCTCCTGCTCCTTTCTCGTTGTTTGTCGTTGGAGCATTGATCCGTCCATCGTAGTCGGCATCCACCAGCCAAGAGGAAAAGAGTGTTCATTGGGCTGACTCAGCCCTATCCTCCCAGGCTTGGTAGTGCTGGACGCTGCGTGACGCTCACCGCCCTTTGGTGGCCCATGCTCCCTGGACCCGCCTGGAGGGATGGACCCTTCCAATGGCGGCGCGCTGACGACATCAGCCGGTCTCGCAACGCCATCGACCAACGACGCGTGATGCCGTGGCTCCTATTTTGCTTCAACAATTATGTCGCCTTTTCCCTCTGTATCCTTGAAATCCTCGTCTTATTACTCCGCCATTGACCATCAGCACCCTCGCGCCAGCTCGGATTGACCTTTGTCTAAAAAAAGGCTCCTGCAAGTCCTTTACATCATCTCCTCTCCTTTCCTCCTCGACCTCGTCTGCCTCGCCATGCCCCCACGCGACCCTTAAGCGCCCGTTTCCGCCCTCGGCTGACCGCACTGACATCCCACAATGCCCTCGGTCACGGCTCAGCCCGACCTGACCTCGCCCTTGGCTTCGTCGCCCGAAGCGCACTCATCGCCCCAGAGCCTCCCCGACCTCGTCCACAACCTCAAGCATGGAAGCTCCGTCCTCGCCCTCGCCGTCAGTCCCCAGCACGACTCCATCTACGCCGGCACCCAGGACGGCGAGATTGTCGCCTGGTCCCTCGCCACCTTTCACCAGGTCCACCAGGTCCAGGCCCATAAGCGCAGCGTCCTCTCCCTCTTCCTTTCTCCGGATGCCTCCCTCCTCTTCTCCAGCGCCGGCGACCCCGTCATCAACGTCTGGTGCCCCAGGACCTTGCGCCGCCTCTACGAAGTATACGGCATCCACGACGTCGGCGACGTCTTTTGCACCGCCTACAGCCCCCAGCACGATACCCTCTACCTCGGCGCCCAGAATACGACCATCCAGTGGGTCGGCCTAGGCGATCCCTCCGTCAAAGTCCCCCCCGGCTCCCAAAGCCATCCCGACCGCAGGAACCATCGCTTCTTTGACTCCAAGGCCGTCGGTGGAACCAGCACCCCCCGGCGAAGCGAGGGAAGGTGGAGCTTGATTCCCCGCGCCCAGGCCGTCCTCGAAATCGACGGCGGCTCTGTCCGCCACTTTGCCCACAACGGCTACGTATACTGCATGCTCATGGCCAAGGGCCCCACGGTCGAGGTCAATGCCGGCGACGACGTCCTCATATCCGGCGGCGGCGATGGCACAATCAAGTTGTGGTCCCTGAGCCGGCCCCAGCGCCCACAGGCCCAAGACGACGACAGCGACGAGAGCCAAGACGGCCACGGGCACATTGAGGAGCTCATGACCTTGGGGAATGATGACGCCGACTCAGTCCTGTCGCTTGCCCTCGACGGCTCCTTCTTGTACGCCGGAAAGCTCGACGGCATCGTCGAGCTCTGGGACCTCGACACGACCCAGAGGCTCCGCGTCATCAAGGCCCACGGCGCCGATGTCATGTCCCTCCACATGGGCTGGGGCTACCTGTGGACGGCGTCAGCCAACGGCTGTGCCAGTGTAAGTCTAAGACAACCGCTCACCTCCAGTCTCTTTGGCTGACGGCCACGACAGCGCTACAGCATCGCCCATTACGGCGCAAACTGCCATGCCTCTCCTGGAGACGTCACCCAGAAGTATCGGTGCCTCAGCAAGTGGAGAGCCCACGAGGGCAAGATCCTAGCCTCGGCTGTCACCACCTACGGAGATCACAAGTACTTCATCACCGGCGCCAACGACGACGAGATATCCATCTGGTCCACGAAGGACAAGGCCTGCTGTACCAAGCCGGCCGCCGAGGGGACCGAGGACCTGCTCTTCTCCACGCTGTCTGACTTTGTCTCGTACAAGACGGTCTCGTCCCGCCCAGAGTATGCCGAAGACTGCCGCAAGGGTGCCACCTTTCTCGGCGCGCTCTTCAAGCGCCTCGGCGGCCATGTTGAGATGCTAAGCACCGAAAAGGCCCACAACCCCGTCGTCTATGCCCGCTTCTCCGGCAAGAAGGAGGCGGCAGAAGGCCGTAAGCGCATCCTCTTCTACGGCCACTACGACGTGGTGGCGGCCGACAACAAAAACGGCAAGTGGATGACGGATCCCTTTATCCTCAAGGGCACCAATGGTTTTCTCTACGGGCGCGGCGTCAGCGATAACAAGGGACCCGTTGTGGCGGCCCTGTTCGCCGTTACCGATCTTATGCAGGCGCAGAAGCTCGAAAACGACGTCGTCTTCCTCATCGAGGGCGAGGAGGAGGTCGGCTCGAGAGGCTTCGAGGAGGCCGTCGAGAGGCACAGAGGCCTCATCGGCCACGTCGACTATATCCTGCTCGCCAACAGCTACTGGCTAGACGACGAGGTGCCATGTCTGACGTACGGCCTGCGAGGCGTGCTCCATGCCACCGTGTCCGTCGACGCGCCCCGCCCCGACCTACACTCGGGCGTCGACGGCTCCTACATGGTCGACGAGCCCCTCTCGGATCTGACCAGCATCTTGTCCAAGCTCAAGGGCGCCGGCAACAGGATCCAGATTCCGGGCTTCTACGATGGCATCCCTCCCATGAGGCCCGAGGAAGAGACCCGGTACGACGCCATTGCCTCCATCCTGATGCAGCACGGGGCCGACAACATCAACGAGGACAAGCTCAAGCAGTCGTTGATGGCACGCTGGCGGGAGCCGAATCTCACCATTCACCGCTACAAGGTGTCTGGTCCGGAGGGTAGTCTGATCAGCAGCCACGCCAGTTCGCACATCAGTCTGCGTTTGGTCCCGGGACAAGAGGTCGAGGGCGTGACGGGGGCGCTGTCGTGGTTTCTGCAGCGCGAATTTGCTCTTCTCAACTCGCAGAATCGCCTGAACATCAACATTGATAACAAGGCCGAGCCTTGGCTCGGCGACCCGACCAACGCCATCTTCCGCACCCTGGGCCAGGCCATTGTCGAAGCCTGGCCCGACTGCTTCAACCGCTCTGGATCGCCGGGCTCACCGGTCGCCGACGACAAGGCAGCCGGCTCTCTGGACACCAAGCCGCCCAAGCCGAGGCAGCCGCTGTACATTCGCGAGGGCGGCTCGATCCCTGCCATCCGGTTTCTGGAAAAGGCGTTCGGCGCACCGGCAGCTCATTTGCCGTGCGGGCGGGCCAGCGATGCCGCGCATCTGGACAATGAGCGGATGAGCATGGTCAATTTGCTCAAGGCGAGGGAGATTTTTGGCAAGGTGTTTGCACGGCTGTAGTGCCCATTGCGAGGTTATGACGGTGAGATCTTATGTGGACAAATGCCATGGCGGGAGTTGGATCGTCCATGCGAGCGTGGGCGGCTGGATACAAATGGCAGGCTGGGGAATGTAATGAAGGCAGGTTCTCTCGACCGCATAGACTCTGTCATCACCTAAATCAACCTCTTCCGGGCTGCATCTCGTTCCATTGCGCTCGGCTGCGCCAGACGGTCGAGGTTAAAGCGAAGTCGAGGAGCAGTTCAATGGTAGCGTCCGTCAAGGTCAGATAGGCAAAGTAAAAAGGGAATTCCTTCTGTGAATGTCTGTATCGTGACATATTTCCCGTTTCCCTTTCATTTTGAGTTATGCGGCGGATAATTTCTCTTCTCTGCCAGCCTCTTGAGCTGTAAACGAAGAATTGCCTAAAAGATATAGAGGGGTGTGCCCTCGTCGTTTGAAAATCCCGTTACAGTCGCACGCCTACCCGCCATCCCTATTGATATCCTACGCCCGTAGAATCCGTCGAATCCACGAGTCGTGTCAGGCGGCCGCGTCAAGCCCCGAAGGACCCTGCCCGTGGCGGCCAAACGAGAGGAAACCTCTAGCAAAGCCTCCGACAGCGGGAGCGACGTTGGGTAGACGAGAGTGCCCGCGGGATGCAGAGGTCGCTGTCCAGACCTGAGGGTCAACCGGCCGCCGCGATCGAAAGAGACTCGGACAACAAAGAGACTGTCGGCGGCGGCGGCGTCGGCGTGCTCCTAGCATAGGTGGGCCTCGATCTCGCGCAGCAACGCCTGGGGGGCGCGGGCGTGGCCGAGAAGCGCCAGCACGCGCGGCCACTTGAATTCGCTCGCCGCGAGCAGTAGCCGGTCGACGGCGTACCGGAGCAGGAGGCACTGGCGCGGCTCGTTGGGCAGGGCCGGGTTAGGCGCCAGTCCATGAGAGTAGACCAGCGTCGAGACGATTTCGAGGCGCGGGCCGTCTGCCGCCGCCAACTTTTTGACCGCGGACATAATGGCGGGGCGTCTAAGTCTTCTTTCCGGAGAGTATGGGCGACGGCAGCAGGATATGGCTATTTTGGCCGCTCGGGCGAGCAAAATATTCGGTAAAGAGGCCTGAGAGCAGACAGGGAGAATAGTGATGAACAGATGCCGCGTCCCCGTGAGGATTCAGCCTTAATCATAACCTGTGGGAAGTCGAAGAGCGGTAGAGGGGGCAAGCGTGAGAGGCAGGCAGGCGCCCTCCGCTTTGTATTGATTGCATCGTGTCATTGGTCTGCCGTTGGACGAGGGAAGCTCCCCCTTTTCGCCTCCGTCTGACCCCGCTTACTCGGACAGGAGGATCAGGAGAAACAGAAACCAACAAGGCGCCGACTTGGGACGGCGACGTGCTCGCGGTCGCGCTGCATGATACCTCCAGTCTCGTGCAGTCGTGTAGGACAGTGTCGGGGAGCGCGGTAATACAACGAGTACAAGCAGTATAAGAGTGTAACCCAAGCCAGCGACACGGAAAAGTTTAGCTCACTATTTTCGATAATGCAGATCACAAAGACCTTCCTCAGCCTTTAGAAGAATGGCTGTTTCCAGCCGACGGCAGTACGCTGGACCTTGACACTCTGCAAGTCATTCTGACAGGCAGTGTCGGCTTCTGGGCCTCTGATAAGAACGGCGAGCTGCGGAGCGAAGAGCAGCAATTTGGCTTCCAGCGCCATATAACCTGGCACAGCCAATAGTAACCAACCTGCGCAACTCCCACTTGATGAATGCCACCAAGGCGCAGCTGCCACAGGCAGCAACTGCATAGCATCTCGACACGCTTACTAGGCACCACATAAATGCCGTTTTTAAATTGAACCAATGCCGATGCCGTTCGAAGACGGCAATTTCTGTCGTTGCTACCACGGAAGCTGCTTCTACATCGAGCGTCGTGGCTTGTCCGCCGATGTTTACTGTTTCTATGTTTACATAGAAACAGTAATGACCCTATAACTTCTCGGGGTCTAGTTCGGATCTTTTATCCTTGAAGGTGCAGTCTTCTAATCTTGTCGCAAGGGGGAAAATGCAAGAATACTTTCGTTGTACGAGCTACACACTAGGTGATGCTCTGAAATCACGTTGGGGAGGGCAGGTACTCGTACATGTAACTAATCTAAGCATTCAATTGCGTTAATTTTCACCTCTTCGTCCTCTACACCAGGTACCAGGGCATGGATAGTCGGATACATACCTGGCTTCATTTTGCGTTGATAGTATCCAAACAAGTCGTATCTGTGATGGCCTTGGCGAATGCTAACACGAGGTGGAAGAGTCACAAAAGTATCAAATATCAAAATCGAGCAACATATCAAGGGCATAAGTATGGTACACAGTTTCTATTCTGTCTGATCACCGACGGTAACATCCCTCCCGTCCTAAATCTTAAGGGCTAGGCTTGAACCACCAATCCACAGGTTTCAGCTGCTCCGGTTTCGGCACATGGGACAATGGTAGCAGATCGATATCCCGACGATGAAAGCAGAAACAAAGCTCTGGCCGTAAAGAATTTCGTTGTAGCCCCGAAATGCTGTAGAAGCCTCCGTGCGACAAGGAGACTTCGCTTGGTCGAGTTTTGCCGTTTCAAGGTCGCCGCCCACTTGATCCAGCTCTAACGGGGCTTGCAAGTTCCCAAGCAATCAGGGCATTGACGGAAAATTTTCTTGCAAACCATGTCAGCCGGGCAAGGCGTATTGTCGGGACCGCCGCAGCTCGCCGCTTGAGATGCATCTTGGGGTTGAGCAGCGGTGAGCACAGTGAGGCTCAGAGAGAGAGTCGAGAGCATTAGACGAAGAAGCATTATAGGTAAAAGTGAACACTACTCTTTAATTGGAGTGAGTTTAAAAGCCGGTTGCGAATATTAGGGATAAAGATGATTGACACGTATAGAATTTGACGATGATCTGTGTTCTTATTTCTTAACGCAAAGAGGCGTTGCTACTTATAAGTTTCGGTCTAGCGGCTAGACGACATAGTTCTTAAATTACAGCTAGAGAACTTAAAGCCAACCGAAAACTTTACTTGTTTATTTAAAGCTTAAACTATATCTTATACAATATATAATATGTTTTAAACGTCGCTATTTTATACGATAGAGACTCGTAGTATCTTAGAGGTAAGTAGTTTATAATATTTTATTCCGTTATTTAATATTAGGGAGTAAATATTAAAATATACTACTTAAAACTATAAATAAGACCATTTCTGCCTCGTTTATTGTTTATAGCTTAATGCTGAGGTTATTTTTTGGCTACTGTCGTGCTTTTGAAATTTTTAATACGTAACTTCTAACCTTATACTAAGCGGGGTAAAAATGGTCTCGTTAGGACAAGGATTGATTTAGCGGCTAGGCGGCTCGTGCTTCTTGCCGGACACATCTACAAAGTTTATATTATATATTATTATACTAGTCTCGGTATGCTTACATTAGTATAGCTAGGAATCTATCGATCTAAAAGCTAAGTCTACTTAGCGTAACCTCTCTTTCTTCGCTAGCTTAATGGGCTGGTAAGGGACCTAAGCCCTGAGCCCCGACTGCCGATATTTCCCGCCCTTATATTATACGAGAGGCACGGATTATATTATAAGGTTTAACTGGTTTAGTAGCTTTATTCTTATTCTTATAGCCTTCTTCCTGCTTAATTCTATAAGTTTAAGGGACTGTCTTTAGTTAGCGTTTTTATTATGTCTGCCCTATTTATTATATAGCTATTAAAACGAACTAGATGGCCTAGAAAATAAAATACTATAGATAATATATATAGACACTATCTAGTATAATATTTTCGCGCTTTTACTAAGAAGTATATAAGTATAAATAAAAGGTATATATAAAACGTAAGTTAGTATAGCTAGTTTAATAAAACCCTGCATTGAGTTATGAGTGAGACTTAGAAGCGTGATCGTCGAACGCGCCAGAGTATAGTTCGTGGCAGTGTTTAGACAAACTTTATCTGAAACTTAGGGCTCTAGATAATCCGGGGATAAGCAACTCCTCTCCTCTGAGGAAAGTGGAAGCAGTGCTGCACCGTAGTGCAGCGCCATGCTTAAGGGGGATTGTTGTAGGGGACATCGGAAGCCGTCGAAGGGCCCGGACTTGATAAAGCTCCGGAAGGAGAGAGGGGATCGGATTTAGACTCGTAGGGAGAACTTGATTGTATGCAGGGCCAAGATCCTGATTGTGTCGTCGTTTCTGCAAAGCGAATCCGAAACGCTTTGGCGAGAGGGCTGTTCGGGTCAGCGCTGTCGTTCTGCCACGAGTGGCACGACCTTTGTTTGGTCATATACATCTTATGGGACTTTGTCAAAGTGGACCCATATAACATGCGTGAACAGTCGAGCCATCTCCGCGCCGTAGTCATAGAGTACGCCAAACTCGGCTACGGGCTTCTCTTGTAGCCGAACCACTGGAGGGCTGTAATTGTTATGCCTATCACCAAATGTGTAGGCCACCTCCGAATGGGTGACTGGTACAATTGGCCTGAGTAGGCACCATCTCTCAATAGTAACCGAGGAGAGCTCTTCGGTAGTTAAGCAAGGCCTATCATGTTTTTCGAGGCCGGATTAGAGAATCTGAGCGACTGGGGCTTACCGCGTGGAGTGGTGGATCCCGTTGTGCTATCTTATTTGGCCGGGTTTCTATGGACCATCGCGAAGTTACAAGCATATACTTGTATTGGCACTAGAGAACATGGATGGAACTCGGAGCAAACCGTTTCAAGTCTCGGGGGGCTTGGCACCCACAACCGTGGCATCGGCTAATTACTGAGTGGTTAATACCTTCTGTCTTGGGCAACGTGCGGAGACTTTGCTGCAACTGGGCTATTATTTCTGTCCCGCCTTGCGTGGACGAGCCCAGGCCATGAAGGGACGTTCTCAGACAACGACAAGGATCGCTGCCGCATTCGCGCTATTACAATCCTTCGAGTCGCAGACACTCGACTATCGCATTATGTATTCTTATTTCGTTGCTACGAGCAGGGGCTGCAAGGTCACACAACAGTCATGGCCGAGATGGCGGGCAGAACGCATTGCTTTAGCCTAGGCCGTTTCACATGCGCTAGCCAGCTCCTTTGCTCCTTTTCGTCCTCGAGACAAATTTTTTAGAGCGTCGCATCGACGTACCTCTGCGGCAAACATTTACAGAGAGTTTTCTTCGCAGCTTGTAAACACGTTGCGAAATCATTCTGTACAGAGAAAGCATGGGCAATCGTCTGGCAGGACGCCTGTGCCACCAACCCTGCAGCACCTCATTGACTTCCGCAACAAACACCTTACCTCTCTCGAGGCGAAACCGCATCTTGTTGGGCGATTAAACTGCGTTACCAAAGCAGCAAAGGAGGGATTTGCCGCGGCCAGTCGCATCGTCGAAGCATGTCATCACGAGGCTCGACCTAGGGGCAAGACGTTCCTTCACAGACGCTTAAATTCCGAGTATAATGCTTCGACTTGGATCTTCTTAGACACTGTGCCGACATTTCACTCCTGGGGCAATCTCAAGTGATGCGTTTACTCTGCCCAAGACTTTAGCCAGATCCAGGCAGCTTGCCGAATACTATAGTTTTTTCTAGCCCGTGCTTCCAAACATACTTCCAGCCCGCCTCTCAAGCCGTTGTCGTCTAGCTGGGGCTTAGGATGTGCACATGGCACCAGCGCCAGGGGAGCAATGCTGAGTCCAAACGACAGCGTGGTTTATACCTTTTGCTCGACAATAATGGGGACCAAAGTCGCAGATCGCTTTTCTTTCCCCGAACGAAACACATCGCCGAACCATTACGGACAGGCTATATTGGACTGTACATCTACACTCTAGGCACCTCACAATGCAAGTCACCTACCTCCTCAGATACAATCGAGCCCAGCGGACTCCCCCCCACCTGGTCCCCGGAGCACAGTTATCAGCCCAGGGTATCAGCAAAAAGCTTATGCAGAGCCAAGCTCTCTGGCCTGACTTGGCTCCCTTTGGACATAAATCTGCACCCCCGACAAGTATGGGCATAATGGCTGGGCCCACGGTATAGCTTTAATATTTTAATTCATGTACTTACGACTTATCTACTACGTTTGAATAGGCTTTATATCTGATAATCCTATATAGGCGTTGTGGACCAGGGCCTTACTTAGTCTTGTCCGCTATAAATGCTAGCTTATGGCGATTATCGTCGACAACTCTCGCGTATTCCAATAAAAGCCTCCATACGTAGAGCTTCATATCCTCGCGCCGTAGAACAGTCTCAGCCCACGTCTTCCCCTGGTCGGCAATCGACCGGGCCTCGGCGTCATGGCTACGCTGTATAAAATAGTCGATAAGCGCGTACACGTCCATAAAAGAGTTGTCCATAGGCACAAAGTGCACCCACGGGAAGAGGCGGTCGTCGTGCCACTCGGCGTAGATGGTCGACTTCAGCGGAAGGCTAGTCGACAGCAGGAATGCTCGGTAGCGGCCGCTAAATGAGTTGCCGTCAATGTCTGGTAGGAACTTGGACGTGTACTGCTGCTCCATGGGCAAGCTGTCGGCGACGGAGAACCACGGCCGCAACCAGCTGCAAAACTTGGCGGGCGGCTGCGGCTCGGGCCGCTGCAGCGTCTCGACGTCCTCGGGCGGATGGCACGGCGCCTCGACGAAGCCGACGTCGGCCCACGTCGAGACCCACCGACCGAGCAAGCCCTGGTCTCGCGCGTGGACCGAGTACGAAGTCAAGTCAGGGAGCCGAAATGTCGGGGCCTGACTCTCGTTGCCGGCCTCGAGGGCGGCGATGGCTGTGCCGTTGAGCATCTGGACGAAACGGTTCCGATGCATGTGCCGCCAGTTGTCCTTTCTGTTGCGCCCGCCCGAGGCAACGCCGCGCCAGACCACGGCGTTATTCTTGCGCGCCCAACTACCGCCACGCGCAGAGCCGCCGCTATAGTCAATCCGGCCGTCGTCGAGATAGACGGCAGCGGGGATAAGGAGCTCGTTGTTACGCAGCAGCTTCGATTCGGCAAACATGGGCACCAGCTCGTGCGTCGTCGACATGCTAATGCTCTCAATAAAGGTGCCGTGCATGCCGCGTAGGTGCGGTTGCCAGCAAGGGTCTTGGGATACGGTGAAGTTATGGACGAAACCACGATGCGTGTAAGCCGGCACTGGTTGGCTGGGGTACTCGATGGCTTCGCCAAAGGACGTTAGCGAGGGCACTCTGCGAGCTGGGCTTTCTGGCGGGCAGGCGGCGGCCAGGTGGTCCCAGTACTTGTTCGCCTCGTCTGTGATCCATAGCGTGTCGTCATGCAGGGTCGAGTTGTTGTCTACGTCGTCGAGGCCGCCATAATGGTCGATGGCGTCGCCGACGTCGATGATGTGGCGCTGCTTTTGCGCCTTGGCAACGTATTCGTTTACCGTCTCCCATGGGACGAGGATGCGCGACTCGTCCATGGTGTTAACAGGCATGTCGAGGTCAGGAAGATTAGGCGCCAGTTCGCTAACGAGCTTTATCCATTGCTCGACACGATGCGGCATGTCCTGAGGGAGCACGTTCAAGTCGACCTTGGCGCCTCGCACACGGACGACGGTGGCTTGGTGGTGAGCCTTGAGGCGTAGTTGGCGGGGCTCGAGCGCCCAAAGCGGGGAGATGTCGTGATGGATACGGTCGAAGAAGTCCTCGACGACGATGGCCCTGCTCTTCGTTGCAGCAGCAAACCAGGCGTCAAAGCCCGGCGGCGGGTGGCGGCCGCGGCGCTCTTGATAGCGCCGGGCGGCCTGCTGCAGCGACGTCGAGCGCTTGCGCAGCACATCCTGGAAATTGAGGCGCGCCTCACGTATCAGGCCGTCGATGGGATGGTCGGCCGCGTGCGCTGCCGGAGGGCCATGCTTCCAGTCCGCGATGAGGGCGCAGTGGGCCGGCCGCAGGAGCACGGCGCAGTCGCGGGCGGGATCGCGCAGCGAGAGGTAGACGAGGACAAGCACCAGCACCGAGAGCAAAGGGGCAAGAATTTTGCGCCTATACAAGCGAGGAGCACACAGCCGCCTGTGAAACGACATGGCAGAGCAGGCCCGAGTGCCGGGCCGCGGCGATGCAAGTTGAAGGAGAGATTGAGGGGCAAGAGTTTTGATGTATGGATCGTGGATGTATGCCAAGGCCGAGGCCCGAGAACGGGCTTTACCGGTAATTGATTGCGGACAACTGCGTGTGTGGAGCACGCATGTATAGTACGTAGCAGTATTTCGGAATGGCTCCTCCCAAAGCCACTCGGTAATGTGCCTTCATTTCCTTGCAGTTTGTCATACCTGCAATGATGGAACATAGGGTGAGGCCCCGTTAAAACAAGGCTTTGCCGACAGAACAAGTATTAGAGTTGTAAGATCACTTACAAAGCGAGTAATATTGGCACAACCTCAGGAGTTATAGGACCCCGGTCGCTATCACGGATAGCGTCGATTTTCGGCCTAGGGACGAACTCTTAGTTTAAAAGGTCCATACGGAGCAAAAGCTTAGTTGAGCCTGTGTCTGTGCCTGCCCGTCGTTGCTACCAGGACTGCTACTGCTGCGGTCCTCAACACTCCTGCTTTAAACTAAGCAGGATGTTCGAAGCATGTGGCAAGTACACAGCTGCTGGCGCCAACGTCATGAGACTGACAGATTAAGGGGGCTTTTGTTTTATCTAGAGTATTACATTTGCCCCTTGGCGGCCTAACTCACTAAAGTATAAGTACCTAAACGTTACTAGCTACTACTATGTATAGCACCGGCTGCTTGACACTTTAGGCTCCGAGGACTGAGCGAGCATAGTAAATCTTCAGAGATTTTATAAAGAGCTTTAACTACGGAAAAGCGTACTTAGGCGCCCGAACCAGCAGGGGAGGGGTCACCTTAGGGAGGAGTCCTTCTTCTTTAGTGAAAAGAGGCAGATGAGGAATATGATGATTACGGGCACGAGCCCTTAAGGCTCGTGCCGCTCAGACTGACTAAGCCAGGCTGAACCAATCAGGGGCTGCCCTCAACATTCAGGAATTCATCCCCCGCGCGAGTAGAATACGTAGGACTTCTTATGAATAACTAAAGCGCATATTGACTAATTAAAAGAGGAGATACCTAGAGAATCTAGGCCCGGCTCTGTCTACTCCGTAAAGACTTCTAAAAAGGAGGGAGGTATAGTAAATACGAGGCAATATACTAGGTAGCTTATACCGTAGAAAATTATTAAATTAGCTAGGTCTTAGTAATCGGGATCGGCGGGGGCATAGCATCTAGCTAGAATGTTTATTAAACCTATATATTTAGTAAGTTTCCCTACTATAAACATTTTATAAAGTTCTATAGTATACGATACTTATATTTAATCTAAACTACCGAGCTACTAGTTAAGCTCCTTTAAGTTTAGTAGATAGCACGGTCTATATATAATTAAAAACTATTCTTTAAGCGCTATAAGATAAAGTAAAAAGTATATTATTTTATTTTACTAGGAAGTAAGAGTTTATTACCCTTATAAATATAGTTTTATAGTCTCTAAGTAGCCTCTATATATATAAGTAATCTTACTAACCTTTTTCTTTTAAGTATATATACTATACCTATAAGAGTTTAGGCGTTGCCTAGATAGTTAATAAGTATATAGTTAATAAGAATAGTTAATTAATAAGCCGGGCAGCTTAGTAAATTTTATTACTTTTTATTATATACGTATAATACGTTATACGTAGTAAAGGGGGGTAGTAGCGCGACTATAGCCTATACCCTCTTAGGTCTACTCTATAATAATACCTCCTAACTTTTAATATTATTATTAGTCTTATAACTTAGTATAGGTCCTAGTAGGCTATAAACTAATATATAGCTATTAAATATTAGGCTTTATTATAGAGTATATAAAAGTATAGGATTAAGTATAGTCTATAAAAAGAAGGTTAATAATCTATAAAAGGGAAAAGAAAGAAAAGTATAGGCCTAGCTTATATAGGTATAGAGGCTACTTATATATAAGCTTAGCTTAGACTTTAGTCTATATATAAAAAGCGCTATAGGGACTAGCCCTATACTACTTAAATTAGCTATAAAGAGGAGAAGGCTATAGCTACCGCTAAGGACTATAGATTATAAATAGCTTAAACCTCTAAAGCGCTATATATAAGAATAGCGCTTATAATAGTCCTCTTTAATATAAATTATCCCTTTTATACTCTTTATATCTAACCCTTAGTATATTAAATTAATAGTAATTCCTACCTTTATAGATATTCTTTATTTTTAATAGAACTATTAAAAAGACCCTTTTTTTAACTAGTAGCGGTATAGCTATATTACTAGTAGTAACCCTTATAATTATATATATTAGTAGTAATTATTTAGTTACTTTATTATACGATCTACCTTATATAGTATAAGCGCTCTTACTTACTATTTATTAATAGGAACTACCTAATAATTAACTAATTATTCTACTTATAAAGTAGCTTTTAAAACCTAATTTAGAAATTAATAAGAACTACTCTCTTCGTAATTAATACTTATTATACTAGTAACTATAATAAATATAAGAGGGATAAGGTAGTTAATTAATACTAGCTAAAAGAAAAGGGGGAAATACCCTTTATATAGCTAGCTAAAAGGGGTAAAGGGGATATATAAGCTAGATATTATATAGCTAGGTATATACCTTAGTATATAACCCTAATAATATCCTTCTTTATTATATTAGTACTCTCCCTTATAGTTATAGTATTAGACCTTAAAGTAAGAGTAGCTTTAGCTAGCCTTATAGCTAAGGCAGCTATAATCCTACGTTAAGTCCTTTTCTAAGTAAAAGGTATACTTAATAAGCTATTAATAGGTCTAGTAGTTATAGCTAAAGGAAAGGCACCTATAGTACTATATATATATAGTATATTCCTTATAACCTTAGACTAAAAGCTATAAACCTATTATATAAAAGCTACTTTTTTAGTATTTAGCCTTTATAGCCTTTAAAGGGACTATAAAGATAATAGATCCGACCTTTTAAGTCGGGCCTATATTATAACTATAGTCTAGTAAACCGCGGAGGACTAGTATATATTATAAGGATAAGTAATATAGGGAGTAAGGAATATTAAATAGATAAATAAGCTTATTAAGTTTAAAGCGACTAGTTACTTAAGCGCTTTAACGCTTTATAGCTATAATCGTAAGATCGCTCTAGCGCTCTAGCGCTCTTAAGTAATAGGATTACTTATTATTCCTAGCGATCTAGGGAAGCTTTTAAGATATATAAGGAAGGAATTCTTATAAAGAGAGATATAATAAGTATATATAAAATATATAAAAGTAAAATTAAAAGTAAGGGGTTTAATAAGTAGGGTAAAGATATTTAATTCTTATAAGGGTAGTAATTATAGTAAGGGAGTAATTATTATATTTCCTTAATTATCGTTCTTTCCTTTATCTAACGCCCTTTTTTATACCTATTTAATATTTTAATTAATAAAGAAGATCCTATTTAAAGAAGCTATTAATATCCTTTTAACTACTAAGCCTTTTATAATTTTTTCCCCTTTATTCTAGCCTTTCTTAGTATATCCGTTTTATTTCTTACTACCTTTATAGAAATCTACTATTACTTTTACTTCCCCTTATACCCCTATCCTCTTCTTTATACCTCTTTTAGCTCTTTCTTTTAAACCGGTTTTTTTTAGCTTCCTAGGTCCCTCTTATTAAGGGATATCTCTAAGAATATAAATAAGGCTATACTTCGCGATATACCCCCTTAGCTATAGCCTACCCTTTAAGGGTAGAGCTAAATAATTAGGCCGGTAAGCGTATAGAAGAGGTCTTAGTTTATACTTATTCCTTACTTAAGAAATCTAGGTTTTAGCCCTAGGCTCTTTTAGACCTACTTTAAGAAAAGGGGCCTAAGAAGGAATTAAGTCCTATAAGAAATAAGGACTTCCCTTTTTAAGAAGAATAAGTCCTTATTAAGCTAGAGGCCTTCCTTTAAGATAAGTCCTAGTTCTATCGCGAAGCGTAGCCTAATTTCGTAGTTCTTAGAGATATCCCTTAGTAAGAGGGACTAAGGAAGCTAAAAACACCCGGTATAAAAGAAGGAAGAAGGAGCTAAAAAGAGGTATAGAAAGGAGGGTAGGGGTATAAGGGGAAGCATAAGTAGCGATAGCTTCCTATAAAGGTAGCGAGAGATAAGACAGATATACTAGTAACGGCTAAAAAGGAGGGGAAAACTAATAAAAAGCTTAGTAGTTAAAAGGATATTAGTAGCTTCTTTAAGTAGGATCTTCTTTATTAATTAAGATGCTAGATAGGTATAAAAAGGGGCGTTAGATAAAGGAAAGAATAAGAATTAAGGCAATATAATAATTACTCCCTTACCTTAATTACTACCCCTATAAGATTTAAATATCTCTGCCTTACCTATCCGTCCCCTTACTTTTACTTTTACCTTTATATATTTTATATATACTTCTTATATCTCTTTTTATAAGAAGTTCCTTTCTTTAGCTATAGATGTCTCCTTCCTTATATATACTATTAGCTCCTCTTATATACTCTTAAGGTAGGCTTTTAAAGATAGCTTTTCTTAAACGTCTTTTAGCTTAATTTACTATAAAAAGATAGCTAGCTTTTACTATAGTAAGGGCTTTATAAGACCGTTAGCTTTTATTATTACTATTAAAACCTAATAAATAGAAATAAGTCCCCTTTAAACCTCTTAGTATAACTAATACTAATAGATATTAATATACTATAGCTAAGTTAATAGCTTACTATTTTCCTTTATAAGAATCTATATAGCCTATATATTATTATATTTTATAGCTAATAAAGATAGAATTTATAGTTATAAAGATATTAGTAGCTAGCTAAGGAAAATCGTTTTTTAACGCTTTTAAAAGAGCTAGTAGCTCTACCTCTATACTTAAAGTTATAATAATAGCTTACTTTAAAGCTCTTTAAGTAATAGTTCCTTTAAAAGAGATATAATATATATTTATAAGCTCTTTCTATCTAAGGAATTACTTATAAAAGATAAATTACTTAAATAAAGAAAGAT